AGGTGTTCTCGAGATATGACACTTATGAGAATGAGTCAGATGGAAGGCCACAGTTACCTTGACCTTTGACCAAGAAATTCCAATCACTTCATTCTTGACTCAAAGTTGATGTTTGTGCCAAATTTGGCAACTTTTGACAATTTATTGTGTTCACATGAATGAGATGGACACAAGGTTACAGTGACCTTGACCTCTGACAATGCAAATCTAATCAGTTTATCCTTGAGTCCAAGTGGATGTTTGTGCCAAATTCAAGAAATTCCCTCGAGGTGTTCTTGAGATATTACGTTCATGAGAATGAAGCAGAAGAGGTCACCGTGACCTTTACTTTTGACTCATGACCACTAACGTCACAGAGTTCATTCCTGAATCCAAGTTGATGTTTGTGCCAAATGAAGAAACTTCCTAAAGCCATTCCTGAGATATTGTGTTCATACGAATGGAACAGACAACCTGAAAACATAATGCCTCTGTCACAGCTATTGCTGGCATGGAGGCAAACAAATGTTGATGATTAATTTCCTATTGGTGACTTATTAAATAATTATTTAAGCTCCAAACCTTAAATACAGTTTTCTGAGTGCTGATGACCAGATAATTAGAGACATCACCTGCTAGCTGAGGGCCACATTCATGAGGAGACCCATCTTCATTCAGCGTCTCCTGAATAATACATTCAACCTAGAGGCACAAAACAAACACACACAATTACACTTTGACCAATTTAGATAAAAATCTTTATAATACTGAAAGATTGGGGAAATAAAAAGCACTTGTTTCTGACCTTTGCATCATTTAGGGGTGAGGTTACTGGCCGGCTTCCCACTGAGGCACGAAACAAGGGAGGAGATACAGAGAGAGCAGGGAGAGAAAAATCAATACATTTAGCATTCACGCAACAGCAAAAGCACCAAACTAGAGCTCCACACATGAACTAGTTTGTTTACGTAGTAGTGGTTTGTCCTGCACGGGCGTGGGTGTAGCTGTTCCCTCATTAAGGTAAGCACAGTTACCTTGGTAAAGCGACACAGCAAAGAAGCTTAACCTCCTCTCCCTCTCCCTCTCCCTCCAGGATGCACATATTCCCAAAGGCTTTAGCTCACAGGTAGTTTCACCACCAGGGCTAAATCAGTCACCAGGCCCCGCCTGCCAGTAGATCATTAAAGGCACACTGAGCTGTGCCATCAACGCCTTTTCTCACGGAGATACCTTGAAAGGATCTAAATGTCAGAGTAGATCACAGTCCGTGTTCAGCTATCAGCCCGTGACCTTCTCTTTTATTGTTATGTATCGGGAACAAAGACTGGTGGAGACACAATATGAGATGGTGTCCAATTACTGCACTTCATTTAGTCGTGAATCTAAATGTCAGTTTAGAAACATGATTCTGCTTTCTGTCAAATTAACACCATCAAAGCAAATAAAACAAATTAAAAAGACTGCTGGTAAGACTGAGACACAACACTGCAAACCCATGTGCGTCTGCTGCCTTCACTCACATGACACATGTACCAGCTGTAAGTGTGATCTCCACTCTGCAGTGTGTGTCAGCACACAGCCAGATCAGCACAGATCAGGATCAATAGGACTAATTGATACCTTGGCCACTGATGAACCCCCCTGTAGACACGTGAGCTGCCTACAGCTGGGCACTGTAAGGCTCTGCATGTCCATGTGATGATGGTGTGTGTATGTGGTGTGTGTGTCCAAGCTGGGACACCCCAGCCCCATAATTAAAGCTGGTTTTATTGGCTTGTGCTGCTGCCTGTGGTCAGCCAAACTCCATGTGAGAAATTTAGAAATCAAGAGCATCTGTGCATGTCAGAGGGCTGCAGTTTGTTGATGGACAAAATGACTTGATAGATTCAGCAAAAACATGTTGGCTGGACTACAAACTAAAGCCACATCTGAGTCAGCAGTAGATGTGCCTATAGGGCAGGGATGTCAAACATACGGCCTGGGGACCAGAACTGGCTGCCAAAGGACCCAGTCCTTTGCACACCTGATATTAATGCACTTGTGAAGGCTCAGGAGGAATTTATACTTTTGCCTTGAATCAACGCCGTACCTATGGTGTAGGCTCTGCATTGACACATTTTTTTTTCCACTGAAACCATTTCCCTCAGTGGAAACAAAGCTTTTATTTACTTTAATTTCACAGATATGAAACAATAATTTGTGAAAACAATAAAGCCTCCACAAAAATTGCATTTTAATCTTGTGTGTGATTTATTCTGGCTTTATATGAGCAGAGGAAATATCTGCTCGTCGCTAGGCTAATTTATACAATATAAAATGCCATAAGCTTGTGCTAATAACGTTAGCATGTTGTATTTGTTTGGAAAACGTGTTTAGTATAAGACAGTTGTTTTTGTCAGTGAACCTCGTGAGTTACAATGAAGCCAAATTTTGTATCATTACCTTTGTTTAAAATTGATTTGTCCCTGGTTTTATATGAGAAGAGGACAAGTCTGCTAGCTGTTAGGCTAATTTATACAATGTAAAATGTCATAGGCCTGTGCTAGTAACATTAGAATGTTGTATTTGTGGGGAAAATGTGTCCAGATAAAGACAAGTGCTTTGTCTGGGAATGCTGCGAGTTATAGTGAAGCTGAATTGTGTACTTGTATTTGAAATTGTCGCTATTAAGCCATGTTTAATGTGTGTTTGTTTCATGTGTGTTTTGGGTTTGTTTTGAATCAACTAAACTTCCTCCTTCAGTTGGACTTTCCCGTCATTTCTAATTCACACTGAAAATAAATGAATTTATAGGCTACTGGAATTTTTTACAGCAAATAAGATGCCAGAGAGCATAAAAAGCATCAAAATAGAGCTTTTTTTATGAAATATAAAAATGCTAGGGGACAATCTTCCCGAACCTCCCAGAAGAGGTCGAAGCAAAGCCCTGTGTAGTGACACTTTGACTAAACAACATTTCTAAACAAGCCACTGGGTTGCAAATGGGTGAACTTGTTCCGGATGTGTGTTCTTGGCTAACAATAAACCAATGTCCAGTGCGCTTTAACTCTTTGGATTGGATGAAACAATATATCTGTATATGCTCATCAAAAGGGCGACAGCATTGTCCATATGCACCTGATTCTCATTACCTGGAGCTTACCTATATGCCCTTCACACATGGGTGCTCCACCTTGTGTTCAGTTTAATAACTGCATGTGTATATTTATTTTTACCTTGTTTAGATAAGGACAGAATAAACAAACAAACTATATCATGGCTCCACCTCCCTGAATTTCATTAAATTTTAGACACGCCCCTGCTTACCCCTGACCTGTGCAGGGCGGCTGCAACTGGCCCCTGGCCTCCTGTTATCTTGTTATCTGTATGTGGCCCCTGAACTAAAATGAGTTTGCTATAGGAGCTGGAGATGCGCAGTAAAGAGATTAGGCTGCTCCTCATCTTGGCATTTAGTGCCACACTGAGATTGTTATTTTACCTACAGCTGCTGCTTCTGAGGCGAAGTGTATCCCTTTAAAATGTAGACTATAGCTTTAGTTGTGCTTCGTTAGGATGGGGTTTGACAATAATTGCCTCCACACACACCATGCCAGCTAAATACACTTAAACCTATGAACAGTCTGCTGTATGTAGGTTACCGCCTGTGTTACTGCACCACACACAGCCACTGCAGACCAATATTTACCCTGCTTTATACACATGTCCCAGTGGGAGGCAGATCTCCCCTTGATTTTAACACCTACACTTATTTTACCTCATTAACACGTTTTCGCCGCAGCTGGCGCACGTCACCGTGCCGCACGCGCACATGTGCGCGGTTCCGCTCACCTGTGCGGAGCTTTAATTCGCATTAATGTTGCTCCAGAGGACTGTTTGGGGGTCAGGGAAATATGTGTGTTTAAAATGTCCTCTTACAAGCAGTGACAGCAGCCTCAGTCCAGCAGCAGACACAAACAGAAAGGTAGGCGCATAAGAAATTATGTAACAACGCTTTTGTTTAGCCTATTAGTCTAAACCCCCTGAGGCTTCGCCATTAGGTTCACACACACACTCTGTCTGCTCCATAAAGTCTTATTATAATACATGCAGTTTGGTTTGTTTCTACTATCACATGCCGGTAATAAAAGAAAACCAAGGACCACATGAGTGTGTGAAAGATGAGGCTTGTCTCCGGCGCAGCCTGCTGAGACACACACTCGCGTTTTGTACCGTCATTTTAAGCGCACAACATAAACACACACACACACTCACACACACACACATTGGTAAATCAGTGTGATAGATGCTTACCTCCGACGGCAGCCCAGAGCAAAACTGCGGTTATCAGAATTCCCATAGGATCCGAAAAGTGAGGTTCCTGCAGGAGATAACCTTGAAATAACGGGCTGGATCTTCTTCACACACCCGCCGAGCGAGGTGGAGCCGAGCCGCGGAGCTGTGTGTGTGTGAGAGAGGCTGTGAGACTCTGTGTGTGAGTGTGAGTGTGTGTGTGTGGGGGGGATCAGGTGACTTGAGACCAGCTCAGAGCCCAAGCCTTGTTAAGGTACCAGAGATGTCAGTTGGTCGTCCTGTACTTACAGTATGTCGCCAAAATGTACCACAGCGGTTAATCTGTGTCTCAGGCATGTTAACATTAATGTAATTTAATATAACCCAGTTTGAGGGCTGTAAGGGTGCAAAAGTGGCTACTAGGAAATAAAAAATCTGTAATTTCCCTCCATGCAAATCATACTAAATATGCCCAGTGAGAATATCATTATAACAGATTTTAATTTTATTTGCAAGGTTCGTGCAAACATCATCACCACCTCCCCTGGCTGCTGCTTAATTACTCCTGCACATCAATTATTCATACTTTGTAACAGCTGGTAATGTAACACACATTAACAGGAGTCTAAGTCACCTCTGGGACTTTCTGCTCTCCATCTGCAGGCTCCCCCTCAAGGTCACAGTGTCATTCAGTATGTTTATATGTTGTATTTAACAGCACCAGACAGGCATGAGAAAAACACAGCCAGAAATCAAGCACTCAACTTTATTGGTCCTCCTTGTGGACAACACGTTTGGGCGTACATTCACAATTTCATGGCATTTGACAAAGTAAGACGAATATTTTTATCATTAGTAAACTGCAGGTTTGGATCTGTCACCTCAAGCTCCCACCTCAGGTGTTTGCATGTTTGTATTTGTGTCATCTGGTTTTGGGAGCAGGCCTGGGTGGTCGATGGTGCTGGTTGGGTCCGATGTATTTCAGTGGAGAGTACTTTGGCTTCTCGATCACTTCTAAGCCCAAATAGGGCTGCAGGGCTCGTGGGACACGCACTGTTCCCTCCTGAGGGGATGGAGAGGAAGGACAGAGGAGGGGAAGACACAGAAGAACACTCATGTTAAGGAAATTATAAAAATGTTTTGAATTAGCTGGGAATCCACCAATTGGGTAGAAGTAAATCTCTTTGGAGGTCATTAAGGCCCAATTTAATGGAGGACTTAAAATGCCTAAATAAAAATAAATCATAGAAATCCAGGAGTTCTGCCTGGGCTGCTGCTGCTCTGTTTGAGAACGTTGTTAAAAATTAAAAAGGTATGTGGCGCGAGGTTGAGGACAATAGGTGGGTGGGTACCCTACACATTTCCCTACATTTTGTTTGGAAACATTAGGTTTAATGGTGGTTGCCATTCTTGTATTTGTTTGGTGAAACTCTCTTTTTAAGATAAGAATGTTAGGTTTTGGGTTTGGGTTTTGTTTTCAGAGGTAGAAGTTAGTTGAGGCTTGATTTTGTCACATTAGTTTCTTCAATTTGGCACAACCATTTTATCCCTTTCTCCCCCACATTTGAGAACCTTGTGTTAAGGTTGTAAATACATCGCTTTTCATTTTTACACTTCTACTGTGACTCCTTCAATTCTGTAATTGTTGTGTTATTGTTGTCTTTTGACACCTGTTTCAGAGGGGGGCTTAACAAAAGTGAAATATAATACACATAGTTAAATGTATTTCATTATCATGTGTGCATGTAAATGAAAAACATATGTTTACATGAAGAGGTGTCTTATACAGATTAAGAAACATGGGAATTAGTGGGCTGTTACAATACAGACTGAAATCGTTTCCCCTTAATGAAGCCAACTGAGCCTGTGTTATTTGTCACACAATTTCTCTCCCTCAGGAAAATGTAAAACTGTTTAGCAATATAGAGGAAACTGCAGTATTATTTGTATGTTATGTCAGTAATCTTTAAGAAATACATTACAATTTGTATAAAAATGTTTTGCCTGATACAATCACAAGGGGGAGCCACTTCAAAAAAGGCGCATGCAAATAAATACACATTAATTCAGTAGAAGGTGGACAAGGTGACGGAAGACTCAAAGAGAAGGGAGGAAAGTGCACGTATATTTTTCAAAAGACGGTTTTTACACATTTTCATGTAAACTTTTTCGGTCCGTGTTTAGTCGCTAACGTGCTGTTATAGTGTTTTTTGTCAGCTGGGTGTATACATACACAACTACTCTGTACATACACAAATGTAACTACAAGTCTGCCATGAGATTTTTATTTTATTTCTTTCATTTGCAGTGCAGAATCTTCAGCTATTGTCAGATATTGTAGGGACGGGGCGTCGGTGGCTTAGTGGTAGAGCAGGCGCCCCGTGTACAAGGCTGCTGCCACGCGGCCCAGGTTCGACTCCAGCCTGTGGCCCTTTGCTGCATGTCACTCCCTCTCTCTCCCCCCTTCACACTTGTCTGTCCTATCCATTGAAGGCTAAAAATGCCCCAAAAAATATCTTAAAAGATAAATAAATAAAAGATAACGTAGGGACATCGTGGTTCATATCACAACCTGACTATAATTTCTTGCTCATTACAACCTGTTCAAGACAATTCATTGTTGCCCAGGACATTTAAAGGTCCAGTATGTAGGATTTAAACCCTGTTTCCACCGGCAATACTGAATGATACAGTTTAGTTTGCAGTTTTTCTGTTTCCACTGTGAAAAGTTGTGGATGGTACCAATGGAACTGTTCTGTACTGTCCTGTCCCCATATTTGATCCCCCCTCTGTTGGGGTACCTAGCACACAGATCTGGTACTAAAAGGTGGAGCTGTGAACACTGCAGTCTGTTGATTGGTCAATAGCGAACAGTCACTCTGCTCAGGGCTGAGCTGAAACAGGGTCAAGGTCCCATATCTGAAGGGTTTCTTTTGGTTCCAAAGGTACCATACCGAACGGGTTTGGTGGAAACAGGGCTTACATGGCATCTAGTAGTGAGGTTGCGTGTAAGAAACCTAGGGTAGCCAGTGTTTGGTTTGTCCATTCTGGGCTACAGTAGAAACAACGTGGCAGACTCCGTGGAGGAGGACCTGCTTGTTGTGTACATATGAACTGCTCATTCTAAGGTATTAAAAACAAAACTATTATTATTTTCAGGTCATTATAAACTAATGAAAACATTGTTATGGATATTATATATCACTGCTGCCAATAAATGCTCAACAATCCTACACACTGGACCTTAAAATCTATTTTATTTTCTAGGACATTTTTTTATGCATTTAAGACTTCCAGGCTTTTGGGGAACCCTCATGTGTGAAGTGTGCCCTTATGTTGGCATCTTACTTTGGTCTGATGAGTCTCCAGGATGGCGATGACTGTTCGAGGGATGGCACACGCTGTAGCATTCACCTAGAAAATAAAACACATCATGGAGGTGGTATACTGCTGTAAGCTAACCCCGCAGGAATGTACAGCAGTGCTGCCTCATCTGCAGTCTTACTGTGTGGGCGTACTGCAGGCTGCCGTCCTCTCTCTCATACAGGATGTTGAGACGTCTGCTCTGGAAGTCTGTACAGTTGGACCCACTGGAAATCTGACACATACATTTAGATAGAATATAGAGAAAGGAGAACCGCAATCAGAATCAGCAGCAAAATACAGCGAACTGGCTCTGTGGAGTTCAGTGGGTACGGCAACAATACTCAGGCTTGGTTTAACTGGAAAAAATCATCATCTTCTTTCTCCTCCATTAGCATTTTGTTACTAAACACAGTCCAAATTTGCCTCCTTATTGCTACATTTTCCTCTAACACCACCCTGGTCATGCATGCATGCTACAGATTCTGCTCTCCATTATTAATGTAGGAGATAATGAATTAAATATAGGATGTAAAAATCCACTTTTCAACCATGGATAACACTTGTTTGGCAACAAAACATTGAAATTTTTTGGGGCTTTAGAGACTTTTTCATCCTGTTTAACTTCAGAGGTTTAGAGGAATGATGAGATGGGACTGTGAGGGCGAGCATGCAGGCTTTGACTGACAAGTTAAGGGAGTCACTGGAGACATGTTTGTGTGTCTGTCCATGTCCACCCTGCAGCATGAATTAGCATCTTTAGCTAAGTCATGGTCAGCAAATATCTCAGCTGACATCCTGTCACATCCTACATATCTGACTTATACTGGTGAAGTAAGGTTAGCTGGTATCTGTGATGTAATGGGACAGACCTCTCCGTAGCTGTCCCTCCCAGGCATCCATGCCTCTATGTCATACTTTCGGTATGCTGGAAGGCCCAGTTCCTGTGTCGGCATGTCCAGCACTCTGCGTACAGATACACACAAACACAGCTTAGAGCTAGAAATTCTAATATCATGTAAAATTTAATGGATGTAAGAAAGGACAGGGCCACTTAGACTGTGACTGTGACTGTGTGTGTGTGTGTGTGTGTGTGTGTGTCTGCGCTAACCTGTAATGTAGTTCCAGTGCAGAGAACATCTCTTTCTGCAGAGAGACAAACTCCTCCAGCAGCTGAGAGCTCTCTTCTCCCGTCTCATCTGCTGTCACTCCAAACATCTCTACCTGGACGGAAACACACACACACACACACACACACAGTTAATTACAAAGATTTGGCAATGCACATTTGTATGTATCTGATTTCTAATTGCTGTTGTAAAATAGTGGACTTGTTGTTACCTTGTTGAAGTGATGCACTCTGTAGAGCCCCCATGTCTCCCTGCCCGTGTCTGTCTCCGCTCTGTAGCAGGTGCTGCTGCACACCGTCCTGCAGCGGGAGATGACAGATCATGTCAGCTAGAATTCCTGCTGAAATGACACTATCTGTAGCAAACTAGAGGTGAGGGCTGCTTCTCACCTGACAGGCAGGTCCTTCCAGTTTACTGCATGATCCATGAAAAAGCCTGGAGAAGACGGACACACATCATCATTCAAAGGTCAGATTTAGATTTAGGGCACAGTCACACATGCGCAAAATTACGATTGGTGAATATTTACCTCCTTTTCACTTCGATTCAGTGCAAGCGAAGGAATGAATAACACATTTGCTTAAGAATACAGAATTTGCCTCACTACTGGAAGCAAATGTTTTAATCCCCCCTTCACTCGCACTGAATAGAAGTGGACGGGTTGGGGGTATTTGGGAAACTCAAAACCTCGTCGACGTTGCCTTTTAATGCAGTGCATTAACATTAGTGAAAGAGGAAGCCTCACCTGCCACTCCGACCTCTCCAGTCCCAGCCAGTTTGAGGTCTGGGAAACGTGTCTGGTCCAGTGAATAGACCTGAGAGAGATGGGTGTTGGGCTGCATCCCACAACCCTCCTGGAGGGGGACGAAACAAAATGAGGTTCATGCTGCCGAAAGCAAACACAAGTACTCTGCAAAAAACAGTTACATACAGTACAGAGCCATGATCAAGTGGAATGATCTGCCAGCAAATATTGTCTTAGAGAATAGTAATGAAAGATTTAAATTTTTGTTGAAACATCATCTTCGCATACACTAGAAAATATGTATCTGTAAATCTGGTGATCTACTTTGAATGACTTTAAACCCTTTGTTTACCTTGGAATTACATGTGAGAAAGCACATGATAGTTATTAGTTAAGGAGGCCTTTGAACAAATGATTTATGTCATGTATGAATTACTATTGATTTTGTACTTGGCTGAATTTCTGTTGAGAGGATGATAATATTATTTCTCTTCAGTATGCATTTGATTTATTCAATGAGATAAGCTGTTTTTGTTTTTGTTGTTGTGTGTATAAATGTGTATGATTGTATGTGTTGTGGACCCCAGGAAGAATAGCCAAAGGGTATACAGGTGCTAATGGGGATCCGAAAGAAAGAAAGAAAGAAAGAAAGAAAGAAAGAAAGAAAGAAAGAAAGAAAGAAAAAGAAAGAAAGAAAGAAAGAAAGAAGAGAAAAGAGGAGAGGTCAGTGAGAGTGGGATAGTGTGTGGCTTAAAAGATGCTTTAGTCTTGCAACTGTTATGTCTGAGGGTGCTGTCAGACCTACAGTTGTCTCCTTTGGTCTGAATCAGGGACTAATTTCGTTCCAAAGCTGCATAATTTCCTAGAGTTGGTTTGTGTTCTCATGGCAGCATTTACAAGCGGACCAGATCAAATGCCTTGTGTGAGAAAGCTGCTCTTGATGGGTCAGAATTTCCATGCGGGAAAAATCCAGGAAGTAAAGCAAACGTTGAAGAAGAGTACACTTGCAAGATAAATGTGACACTTTCTAATGTCACAATGGAGGGACAACTACGCAGGTTGATTTTAGCGCTGCTCATCGTGGACTATATTGCTGTCATTGTTCATTTTAGTCAAACCATACAGTTTGAAAACGAGGCGTGGCTCCAACTAGAAAACAATGTTTTGATGCATTGGATGTGCTGAATGTGCATATTAAGGCAGTACAGGAGGAGGTGCACATTAATAATCCTCCAGGACTGTAACATGCTCATGTTTAACCCAAACAATGTGTCATGTGACTGCAGTTGCTTCACATCCAGGTCGGAACACGTTCTCACCACAAACCAACCGCACCAGAGTTCGTTTGAAACCAAACCTCTTCAAGAAGGTCTCGGTCCGGGTGTGATTGCTGTGTTCACACGTGCACAAATGAACTGCACTTAGGGGGCATACGAACTTGAGTTTGTGTGTGAAAGCACCCTGAGTGTTTTGTTGCAAAATATTCAGTTCTTTTTTAACAAATGTGCATTTTAAATCTCAATTTTAGTTATTAAGTTTAGTATCTTCCATTAAGTCAAACTGCAGTATCATGATAACACCTCCTCAATATCAGGTACGTTAGAAACAGATGAAACAGAGTTCTGCTACTCACAAATATTGCCCCCTTCAGCAGGTCAGGAACAACCATGGGGATGAAGCCCTGCAGGGGTCAAAAGGAAAACTCAAATTTGGCTCTCCTATATGTTAACAGAATAATAATAAACGTTCATTTAGCAGACTTTGCTTACCCGTCTCTGCAGTGTGTCGAGGGCAAGGTTTTGTAGTGCAGTCTGAAGTCTGGCCCCTGCACCCCTCAGATAGTAGGACCTGTGGCCTGAGACATGAGCTAGATGTCTGCAGGAGAGGAGGGAGAAACAAAGCATAAAGATTCTCATTCATAATGAGCTTAATATTATTAAATATTATGGCATACAAAAATGCATTTTCCTCTTCTCCTCTTCAATTTTCTTTCAATCATATGAACAAAAGGTAAAAATAATAGCGCACGACTGGCACAGGAAGTGGAATATCAAGTGGGGCAAGTCATCCTCACCTCTGCCTGATGAGACCTAACCCTTCCCCCAGCTCTAAATGGCCTCTGGGCTTGAAGTCAAACTCTACAGCAGAGATACAAATCACTGATTATGAAATTTGTTTTTTAAAAACACACATGAGTAGAGCAGTTTAGATTATTATTGATCTGACACTTCACCTGGTTTCTGTCCGACCAGCTCCACCACCCTCGCCTGGCTCTCATCTCCAACCGGCTGAAAAAGTAAGGACGCACTTTAAGAAGTTTTAAATCACGCTAACTTTTCTCTGTGTGTGTATCTGTGTGTGTGTGACCTCACCACATCGGGGTGTGAGGTGTTGGGCAGTCTGAGCGCTCGTCCGTAGTATTCCTGATCCAGCTCATTCTCTTTGGGATAGAGTTGATTCAGTCTGTTGCGGACCTCTCGGCCCTTCTGCAGAGCCTGGGTGTACTCTGGGAGCTGTGTGACAAACAACGAGGACTCAGAACTGGTCCCAGGTGTGATTTAACACTGACCAACACACTGATAATACTAACAATATGAAGATTGGCTGAGTTATTACCCAAGTATTAAAGAGTTTAATGTTTAAAGTGTCAAACTTACACTGGCAAGAGCTTTCTTGTCGTTCTTGGACTGTGCGGAAAAGATAATTGATATCACAATTATGAATGCAGTTTATAGTCTTACAACTTATGGCACCACAAAAATTTATCCAGAACTTCTATATATTCAAAACAATCAACACAAACAGCATATAACAGAGAAGTAATAACTGTAATAACTTTTACTGACCACTAGTGTTTTGACTGTGGCACCGATGTGACGCTTCTGCTCTTCTAGCCCAGCGATTTCCTCCTGCACTGCCTTGAGCTCCTGCCACACACACACCTACGATGTGGACACACAGACAATCAACTGAAATGCAAGTAGAACAGTGGATTCTCCATGTTTCCCTTATAGGACATTTATACACAGCCACAACATTAAAACCACTGTCGGGTGAAGTAAATTACATTAATCATCTTCTACACTGCAATGCTCGGCTGGGAATCCTTGGGTCCTGGCGTTCATATAGATGCCACTTGACACGAGCCACTCATCCAAACTCTGTTGCAGACTAAGTACCTACCCTCATGGCAACAGCACTCCCTGATAGCAGTGGCCCCCCAGCAGGACAATGCGCCATGCCACACTGCAAAAACTGCTCAGGAAAGGCCCGAGAAATGTGACCAAGAGCTCAAGACATCGACTTGGCCTCCAAACTCCCCAGAATCAAATGTGATCCAGCATTCGTTTGACGTGCTAGTACACCAGAGGTACCCATGATCCAGGGTCGGGCCTCCTTGGATCAGACTTGACCTGGACCTCTGCGGATGTCCTGTGGCGTCTGGCACCAGGGCCTTGATGGCAGGTTCTTTGAGTCCTGTAGGTTGTGAAGTAGCGTACGAGCACATCTCGTGAACACTCAATCAGTTTGGGATCTGGGGAATCTGGAGTCCAAATTCCCCAGATCCCAATCTGATCATGAGACATACCAGTAACCTGCCTCACAACCCACAGAACTCAAAGAAACAGACGCAAAAGCCCTGGTGCCAGACGCCACAAGATGCCACCAGAGGTCCTGTGACGATGCTTTGACGGATCAGCTCCAAGTCCGATCCAAGGAAGTCCCACTGTGGATCAAGGGTACATCTAGGGTACTGACATGTCCCAGGGATACTCTATGACATTCAGATCTGGGGACTTTTTCACTCCGGATCAATGCCTTGAGCTATTTGTCATGTTCCTTGGGCCTTTTTTAAGCAGTTCCTGCAGTGTGACATGGTGCCTTGTCCTGGTGGGGTGGGGCACTGCCATAGGGAAGTACCTTTGCCATGAGGGGGTGAGCTTGGTCTAACTTCAACTGTGTTTAGATGGGTGGAACATGTCAAGTGGCATCCACATGAATACAGGTTCCCTTGCAGAACATTGTATTCAATTTCAAGAATATATGCAGTACAGTATGTAAGTGTAGTGAGGGCTATTGACAACCTGAGTCAAATTCTTTGGGTGAATCTCAGTAAAGTAGACCTATGCAATGTCGGTTTGACTTTAAACACTCATAAGCAGCCACACAGCCAGCTGTCAACCCATGGCACATGTTTTTGACAGAGGTTATTATCATAGTTATTATTTAATTCATGTATTTTTTATGTGTTGTCACAAAGAGGACTGAATTAGCAGCTTTAGAGTCACTTACAATCTTCCTGACATCGTCCCCTTTCAGGTCACCCTTCCTGTTCTCCACATTTGCTATGACTTTGTCGGTTTCCTCACACACTGCTCTCATATCCAGCTCGGGTTTGTCGCTGTAGCCTTCACGGACATGCTCGTACAAACTGCTGCGGACTCCGTGACAGAAGCGGTGCGGGGTGAACACACATGTCCTCTGCCTTGAACACTGCCTGGCGACCGGCTTTAGCATAGACAGTGCAGTGCATCCGACTCTTGCGACCATGCCGATGCAGGTCGCCATGTTTGTGTAGTGGACGATGTTGCATTCGCGGGCTATCGGAATTGCAACGATTCTAGGCTACCGCATTTGAAAACGGTTACATTTAATGATTATTGACTGGACTATTGTCTTTTTTAGCTGCTAATTAAACCAGGGAGTTCAAAGTAAATGTCCGTGTTTTAAAATATTGAAAGTCTTTGTAGTTTTTTTCCTCTTCACATATTTTGGTAAGGTGCCATGCTGCTTGACAGGGGCGTAGATTTTGACAGTGCACTGGGGCCTGTGAGGTGGGGGGCCCATAGAGACATATGAAGCAATGTCTTATGCATTTGTCCTTGTCAAATAAACAAGTAAATAAAATATAAAAAACATACATTAGAGATGAGCGAGTACACCAATATCTGTATCTGTTCAGCCAACTAAATTATCTGTATCTTTACTCGCAATGGGCAACATTTATGCCAGATGTGAGTGGGGTTTAAATCTAAAGTGGGTTGGGCCTAATCAGAAATTGTTATTTTAAGCCTGAATGGGTTGATCAGAGATTGCAATATTTATTACCTACAAGAAAAGTATTGACAGAACAGCCTCAGAATTGAGCTTTTTTGATCTTTTCTTTTTAAATCACAAGAATAATATAAACAAAGCTACCACTATGAGGATTTTCCTTTATCAGGAGTACAGATAATTGCACATTTTACTTGTATGATACTTGTACTCGTAAAATGGACATTATCTGCACTGGATACTCGTTTCATCCGAGTGCTCAGCTCAACCCTAGTGCCCATTTTCCTATTTATAAAGTTTTGCTTATCTGTCCAAAATAAACCTGAATGTTCACAGTAAAAGAACAAATGAAATGTTTCTCTATGTGAATTACAAAAAGCACATGTACAATCTACATTTACCTTAAATCTTTCCAGCACTTCTTTAGCTGGGTAAATTCCATGTAAACTTTTGAAGGATACTTCTTTCACTTTAATATTGATCAGAATCAGAATCAGAATCAGAATCAGAAATACTTTATCAATTCCCAAGGGGAAACTGTAAGTCGTTACACTTGCTCTGATGTAAAAAATAGAGAATTATGAAGTAAGAATAAGAGTATGTAATAGAAGTACGTAAATATAAAGCAATAAAATAAAATGAAATAAAATAAATAGATATGAAAATGTACATTAAAATAAAATTAGAAAAACTGAATGTTCATTATGCTGCAGTGTTTACCACAAGATTTAAAATATTAGAAATAAATTATATATAAATATAAAATATATATCAGCACTGTGCTGAAGATGTAAGTGTGAAATTTAACTACAATATATATATTAATAGAATAAACAGGAATAGAATAAAAGTAAACATAAGAAATATGTACAGTTATTTGCATGATTAAGTCATATATCAAACAAATATTGCACAGTTAATACATTATTTGTCTACAGTATTATAATTACAGTACTATTTGTAAATCACCCATGATAGAAGACTAATAAAAAACATTGCTGCAGGTGTAAGACAGTCCAGAGTATTTCTGGTGTCTCTGTTATTAACAGGAAGCACTATATAAATGGACTATATAAATCTAAATATGCTCACTTTAATCCACTGCTTATTATTATCATTATTATTATTTTCTTTTTTTGCATGCCTAGTTTTTTAAGTTTTTAAATACTGAAATCTTTAATCTGACTTTTCCCCTTGACTGCTGTAACACTGGAATTTCTCAATTGTGGGATCAATAAAGGTGTATCTTATCTTGTCTTATGACGGCTGTAAAACGTCCTATGTGTCTTGAATGCAGCATGAATACGGAAGTTTATATTGGAAGTAACATTACTATAAAACGTATTTTTATTATTATTATTATTATTATTATTTATGTATAAGCATTTTTACACAAATGTTGTCACATAATCAAAAAAATGTGGCAAGAGATATTTTATTTAATTTATTCTTATTTTTTGTGACAGAAAACGCCTCAGCTCCAAACCGTCGTCACGAGCCAAAGGTCAACCAATCAGATGGGCGGAAGTTTAACGTTGCGGTAATCCGGTTCAGACGTGACAAGTGCGGCCGACTGAACCTGAACTCAGTCCTAAATTTCTGCCCCACAGGCTCCCAAAACTCCAGTATCCCCCACAGCAACACCACCGAGCTGCACGCGTGTGAACAATACAATGGTGGACTGATATGTGTCGCGACGAGAGGCTTTCTCACAGCGGGGGAATTGTTCCTTTGTAAGCTAGTTTGGTCCGTTAGTAGTGATGTTGTGCACGGGGCTGGATGAGCAGCGAGTAGCCTGACGCGTCTTCTCCACAGGCCGGGACGAGCCTTTCAGCCGAGCCCGGAGGACCAGGACACCCAGATGAGAGCGAGGAAAGCCTCCCGGAGCTTGTGGTAACAGCCGGGTACTCGGGTACTGCTAGCCTGCCCCAAACTGCCTCACCAATTCCTGTTGAAAGTGAGACCCAGACAGCCTTCACGGTGGAAACGAGAAGAAGAGCAAAGGTGCGTTCATGTCAGCTGGAAAATCAATATCTAACCGGTTAACTGATGCAACAACAACAGTCTGGTTTGTGTTTGTTATGTGGTGCACCCTGTATTTTATTAAGACATCTCATAATATGGAAATGTAAACATATTGCAGGGGCAAATCTATAGCACACAATGTTTACTCAACATAATCTGTATTGTGAACCTTATCTAACAAGCAACACTTCTTCCACAGCTGCTATCTGTGTCATATCTGTCATAGGCCTCTGTCTACATAGGCCTGTCTGCCACAGATAGGCCCTACATGCATAGAGATTAAAGTGTAAAAGCTTTCCTGTGCACATTTCTCTAGCTTACACATGAGTGTTTGGATATTTACTGTGCTCCAGATGAATGCTGTGCGGGGGGGCACAGTCACCTGGCGTCCCCAGCCGTGGCAGGATGGGGACGGAGGAGGAGGAGAGCCTCTGTCAGACAGCGACTCAGAGGAGGAGGACTTCCCTGATGACAGCACCACACCGTTGGGAGACTACATCACACATGGTGAGACAGAGGAAATTACGAGGCTAGAGAGGGTGTCAGTGGGAATTTGGAAACTAGCCCTTTGTCTTGGGCCTTTTTAAACAAACCAAACTCAGTCCTCTTAGGGCGCATTCACACCAGGAAAGTCCAAAAAAAAAGAAGTCCAAAATGCTGAAAAATTTCACACCTTAATTTGGTTCGGTTCACTTTCACTGCACTTTTTGAAACGGACAAAACCACCTGGACAACTTCTGGTGACACTTCTGAAGAAGACGGAAGACACCCGACGAAACATGTCAAGGTTAAAAGAAACCTTATCTTGTCTGATATAAAAGAAAAGAAAAACACTAATTCATTTGGATCAGTTCACTTTCACACTACTTTTTTACCGCCTGGACAACGTCACACAGTTACAACAGCTGCTTGTTTGGAGGCGGGATTGCCCGAAACGACCACTGACCAGGATGAAAAAAAAAAGCATGAGTAAGAAGAAAACCCCGGCTCATTGATTGGCCACAAGCAACTGTGATATATAGTCCTCTGACCATATATCAATAAGTGCTGCACCTCCTCACTACTCCACGTCTGCCCACGAGACATTTTCCAACTTTTTCTTTTTTTTTTACCTCCACTTGGTTTTTTTTTTCTACCCAAAATGCACGGCACTCTACATATCTTCCTCTCTTTGGTTCACTTCCTCTCTTTGGTTCGCTGGATAGTCCGTTTGCACTTCCCACTGAAAGCAAACCGCACCAGGGTTCACTTGCAAGTGAACCGAGACCCCCAGTTTGCTCGTTTGGTCCGCACCAGAGTTCAAATGAGCGTTCACACCACTCCAAATGAACCAAACAACCTTAGGAAGTGGACCAGGGTTTGTTTAAAGTGTACCAAAGTGTACCAAAGAGCACCAGTGTGAATGTGTCCTTAAAGTGCACCAAAAAGTAGACCAACAGAAAAGGAACTCAGTTCTTTTTGTGTTCACATTGTCAGTTCATTTGAAAGAGGTCTCAGTTCTCGTTCTGGTCAGTTTCAGCTCTGATGGGGCCTCAGTCCTCTTTCTGTTCACACTATATATAAAATATATTGATATAGTTTTGATTTTACTTTGTCGTGGCACACAGTGTGATTATAAAGCCCCTCGCTTTCGGATTAATTTAATATAGGAGGAGAACAGTAGTGTTTCTGTGCTGTAGACTGTCGCCATTTCATGTATTCTACTTTACACATCTGGAGACGTTCAGTATTTTCCATGGACCAAACCACTCCTCATCCTACATCCTTGCAAGTGTTAAAGGCCAACGTGGTTTTGTCTGTTTTTTCAAGTGTCCCTGTGAAATAGAAAGTGATCTACAGGGTTAAATACAATGGTAAAGAGCAAAGCGAACCTGGAGCGCTTTGTGTTCACAAGGCACAGGTGAAGTGGACCTGAAGCGAACCTTCAGAGGGGTCCTTCTGCTGCTCTGTCTTCTGCTGTTACTCATCCCTCCTTCCATTCTCCCCCTCCTCTCTGTTTCTCCTTCCTCTTTTTGCTGTGTTTCAGGACTGAAGCAGCTCCTGGATGCTCAGCAGCTGTGTGATGTCACTCTGCTTGTTGAGGGAAAGAAGTTCATGTGTCACAGGTACGATTGTTGGCGGAAATGGAAAAAACCCACTCACAAAGTTTTGTTCAAGAACTAGAAGCATTTCAGCCAGGGCTGCAGCTAATACATTTTTTTCTATCTCTAAATTCATGGATGTTTTTTTAAATCAATCAGTGTTTTGTTTTGGATAATTTTAAAAGATAGAATCAACAAATATTTGATATTTTTACTGCATCCTTCTTTTCCAATTGAGTGACGGATTGATAATAATTTCCCCATCCATTATAACATCGATTGACAATGAAGTTACAATTATACAGGCCAGCTCTGTGTAGTAGAAAGCTGTTTGCTGCCTGTGTTTGATATCAAAGAGGTGATAAATACCAAACACCTTGGTTCGACAGAGTAGACAAAAACTAAGAACTACTAAGCACTGTAAAATGTAGAAGTGTCTTCCTCTGATGGTATGAATATATCCTCCAAATAATATTCTATCTTTCATCCTCAGAGTCCTCTTAGCAGCCGTGAGCCCGTACTTTAGGGCTATGTTCACCAGCCCTCTGGTAGAGTCCCGCCTCACCGAGATCCGACTGGAGGAGGTGACGCCGTCTGTCATGGAGACTGTCATCCAGTTTGTGTACACCGGTGAGGCGGGGCTCTCTCTGGACACAGCTGAGGATCTGTTTGTGGCCGCCAACCGGCTCCAGGTCATGCCCCTTCAAGACCTGTGCTCAAGGTACATCTGCTGTAAAAAAGTGACAGATAATTAAGTTTGCAGTTTTATTCATTAGATTTTACAAATCAGATGACTATGTAATTACTTTGACATCAGGTTTTAGTTGACAGTTAGTTTCTCTCCATTTATCCCTCCAGGTTTCTATTCGAGCACCTCTCAGTGGATAACTGCCTGGGGATGTACTCTCTAGCTCGCTCTCACCATGATCAGCTGCTGCTGCGCGCCTCCCTGCGGCTCGTAGCCCAGCACTTTCCCCGGGTGGCACGGCAGAAAGACTTCCTCCTGCTTGACCACGGCACCTTAGGCAGCCTCCTGAGCTCTGACCGTCTGGGGGTGGACTCCGAAGCGGAGGTTTACGACGCAGCGCGCCGCTGGGCAGAGCACCAACCTTTGGATCGCTATGTCCACATGCCGGCGCTGCTCCACCACCTGCGGCCGGGGCTGCTGTCTCAGGAAGAGAGCCGAAGACTGTGCCAGGAGTTGGGGCCGGCTGCGGCTGGTGAGGGCCTCGGGGGGCCTCTGAGACCACGGGAGGGCATGTTTGAGAAAAAGATTGTCTGTGTGGACCTGACGCCTCGGGAAGATGAGAATTTAGCTGCAAGAGACTACACAGTGGACTGCTTTGACCCTCGGACAGGGAAGTGGGAGAAGTTAGCAGCGCTGGGTTCTCTGGTCAGTCCCGGCTGTACGGCTGTAGGAGACCGGCTGTTTGTAGCGGGTGGGATCTTGCGGACAGGTTCTGTGTCTGCAGCTGTGCATGAATATGATGCAGTGTTAGACCGCTGGGTAGAGCGGCCTTCTATGGTCCAGCCTCGGGCTATGCTCGGCCTTCTGGGCTGTGGAGAGTCACTCTTTGCCCTGGGTGGTAGTAACCGCTCAGCTCTGCTGGACTCCAGTGAGACCCTGGAGCTGACTACACTTCAGTGGACTGCGGGACCTCGGTTACCGCTCCCTCTGCGCGCCTTCGCCTGCGCAGCGTTACGTGGACGGCTTTACCTTCTGGGTGGAACCACACTTGAACAGAACCGGGCTGTGGTTCACTCGGGGGTGCTTATTTATCACACCCTTACAGACTGCTGGACCCGTGTGGCTCTGGACTCCGGCGCCACTTGTCTCGCCGGAGGAGTAGCAGTGCGAGGAGGAGTCTGTGCCATCGGGGGATACATGAGGGATACCACCAAGTTCCTGGATGGAAACTACACCAATCTGGAGACTTTAGACGCCACTGGGCGTGTGCTGTTTTTCAGAGAGGGCAGGGGGTCTGGAGTAGAGAGGGAGGTGACTGGGGGAGGGGTGATGGTCACCGCGGAGCAGCGGGGTGGTGCAGGTGGAGGAAGCGACCGAGCCCCAAGCCCTGTGGTATTTCCTGGGCTGCCGCGGCGGATCGCAGCGGGGGGTGTGGCGAGGTGGAAACGCAGGATTTATGTGCTGGGTGGGGAAAATGGCTCACGGTTCTATGACAGTGTGTACTGTTGGAAGCCTGGCTGGCGCAGCTGGGTCCAGAGACGGGAGAAACTTCCTGGAGACACTGGAGGGGTGAGCCAGTTTGGGTGTACCACTTTAAAGTTCCCGAAGAAACACATCCTGTCCAGACTGAGACTAGCCAAAGAAAACTGCAAGAAGGCTGCTGACTAGCTCAATTAGGGACCAGTACGACTGAAGTGGAGGCAGCCGTTAATGTGACCCAGAGATGAGCTCCAGGCTGAGTTTGAATTAGCTCCCCTTGACCTCATGAAATATTGGTGTTAAGATGAAGTCACAAGGAAGAGACCATTTTATACAATCTGAGTGCAGCCACAGAGTAGACCTACAACAGATCGGATGCAGACAGATCTCATGAAATGTAGTATGGATAATAAATGTACAGGCAGGAATCATGTGGAGCCAGAAACTGATTAGAAGTCAGGCAACAAGCACCTGAATGTAACCTAATCCACTATTTGTCAGAACAGCAGTCCTTTGAGAGACAAAGAAGGGCCTTTTCATTTTCTTAAAGTGTAAAATTACTTTCAGCTTTTTGCTGGCGCCATTTTTAAAGCTGTTTGGATACCGTTTCAATGCTGTGAATTTTTCAGCAGTGTTTAGTTTAGACACAAGGACGCCAGCACATAACACTGATCATGCTATGTTCCACTTTGTTTGCATCTTGTTTCTTCTCTAGCGTGGGCCTGCAGAGCTCTTTGAAACTGCAGTTCAGGGTTATACAAATAACCATGACTGGAAACATATCATAGGAAACACACATTTTTCATCAACCTTCTTGCACGTTGACAGTTTTTACTCATACCATCGGTTCCTTGTTTTTAATCGACTGACAAAATGGAAACTAAAGATGTGTTTTGGCACATTTATGACCAAACACAGCAGCAGCACAGTTTGTGAATTACAAGTCTGCGTTTTAAAATGAACTGAAAGTTTAATTATTAACTCATAAACCAGTGAAGAGGCGAATGCCTGTTCTGTTTTTGACTCATGTCTTGAAAAAGAAGAAGACATTCTTTATTGATCCCAGAGGGGAAAATCTTTTTTTTTCCACGGTGTTGTTATTTTTACACATTACCACACTGGCCCAAAATACACACACACATGCACAAACAAGCCCTTTATTGATCTCCCATCTCAGTGTAGGACATCAGTCACATCCTCAGAACTGTAGACACCCTATGCTGGTTTGTACAGCACATCAATAGCTCATTTGTTGAGTTTAATCTCTCACAACATCAGACCCACATCTTCCATCTCAAAACACTGTCCAGTGTTGAACTCCTGCAAAGCTCTGTTTACTGGTGTCTTCACGCAGGCAGTCAGATCCCTCCAACTGATCCCAAATATGGCAGCCTGTGTGTTAAACACAGCAGATAGTTGGTGCTTCTCAAAGTGAAGGAAGGATCCTTAAATGGCTGCATTTAAAGGAGGCTATATTATGAAATCCTGCAGAGGGACTGCTCCAGTGTGAAGGGTCCTTCAAATTCTACCGAGGATCAAGTCCTTCCTTCAGAGAATTTTCAAGGATTCATGTGTGTATCCTCAGCAGGGATGAAGTATCCACAATTGCTTGTGCACAATTTACTGAAATGAAGCAGCGCCTTTTCAGTGATGCACACCTGGGCGCTCCCTAGCCTGTTCCAATGTGTGTTCACCAAATGCTAGGAAGGAGACTTGCCTAGCCTCTGTAGGACCTGACTTGGAAGGATCTGTCCTACCAAGGAAGCATCCTTGACTTTTAGAAGCACCCAGTGTCTCTTCACTAAGTAGGAACTAGGGGTATGGGGAAAAAATGACACAGCATAGTAATGCAATATTTTTGTGAGGCAATATCATATCATTACATGGCACACAACTGAGCATGGTTTAAACACCACAGCCTACCTGAGTATTGTTGCTGACCGTGTCCATCCCTTTATGACCACAGTGTACCCATCTTCTGATGGCCACTTCCAGCAGGATAACGCACCATGTCACAAAGCTCAAATCATCTCAAACTGGTTTCTTGAACATGACAATGAGTTCACTGTACTCCAATGGCCTCCACAGTCACCAGATCTCAGTCCAATAGAGCACCTTTGGGATGTGGTGGAACGGGAGATTCACATCATGGATGTGCAGCCGACAAATTTGCAGCTACTGTGTGATGTCATCATGTCAATATGGACCCAAATCTCTGAGGAATGTTTCCAGTATCTTGTCAAATCTCTGCCACGAAGAATTGAGGCAGTCCTGAAAGCAAAAGGGGTCCAACCTGGTACTATCAAGGTGTACCTAATAAAGTAGCTGATGAGTGTAGTTTGCAGTTGATAAAAGGTAATGAATCACCATTTATTGCACACTATTTTATTGCAATACGCAGTATATAACAACACATTTGAAATTGCAGTAATATCATATCGGCCTCTGGTGATTCTCAACTCCCAGCAGAAACCGTGCTCGTGTTCAGTGTTTTTAATTGCTCTCATAAAGGTCCTGCCTCAAACAAGTGGAACATAGCAGTGGGTTAAATGTGCAGAATGGGCTGGACAGTGTGCAAAAAAAAAAAAAAGAATTGGAGATTAATATATACAGCAATGTGTGGTTTAAAGAAATGTTGGTAGATGTTCATGAGCTTCAGCTGCAAAGAAAACTTGAGCTGTCCTTTTCAGCGAGCATGATATGATTACAGTGACAGAAGGTAAATGTGTAAGGGTGTCCCACAGCATTCTTGTGTCTAGACTATCGCACCTTTCCAAAACCTTCAAGCCAGGTGAAAAGTCATTTTTACTTGATTCAGCAACCGTGTCAAAATGTCATTTTTTTTTCAACTGCTCCAGCCACAGGACTCGTGAGTGTGTTTGTCATGGAGGCTTTGGATTTCCTGAACACATTAGCACTGCATCTAATTTATTGAAATGTATTTCAAAAGATTTTTGTTGTTGTTTTGAGACTTTTTGCTCTGACTGCAGAGCCAAGGCATCCTGCAGGATGGCACTATGAGTTTAGTCAGACCTGTCAAACAGGAGCAGGCGTGTTGTGGGAATGTGAAAATGACTGAGGGTTTTTAAAAAACCGAATTCCTGAATTTTGATTTTCATGAAATGTCAGAAAGTTTGCCTACAAATGTAAGCACACTGTTTTGCTGTAAGCCGCTGTGTTTTATTTTATCCTTTTTTCTTTTATTTTCCTCTCTTATTTATTCACATTGATCGATTTAGATTCTTCTGCAGGAGGTATGTGTGTAGGAAAAACACTGCGAGCTGTGTCTGAACATGGCAGAAATCTATTAGTGTTGACGTCAGATTGCAACTAGCAACAGGGCCAGAAAGTATATGGATAAATCTTGGTGCTGGGACATTCCCACCTCTAGGTTTCGAATGCTAAAGGATGCAGGAGGAGCAGGGATATTAGTTTTGGAACTACTGGGGGCCAGAAATTAGTTTTCAGACGTAACTTTAGGTTGGCTAACATTGATTAATAGGACTGTGACTACATATAGGATTTGTGTCTAATGGCAAAATAGGATTTCTTTTTCAAGTCTTAGAACTGGGATAAGACAAAGTATGACTCTGTGCAGGACTCAAAGTGGATTCATTTAAGTTTACTGAAGCAGCAAATCAATGGCAGCCTGAAACGTAACAACTAGAACTAGTTAAAAGTACGAATTTGGTGAGAAAAGGAGAAGCTTTCTCACATAATTTTATTGTAAAACCAGACCGTTGAGGCCAAAGTCATGTGTCTCCCCTACAAATAAGACTCAAATCAGACTGTGGTTAGATTTGTCTCATAACTCCGCTCCTCACTGGGTTATACTGGATCAGAAATACATTTCTCAATTCACCCTCCCATGTAGAGCTTTCCAGAATGTTACAACGACTCCCTCAAGAACAGAGTAGTGGAGTTTCATCAGTTCCCAGCTAACAGCAGATATTGAACAGCACAGTCAAGTTATTTCTAGCAAAGTGTGACACAGCTTGAATATAACATTGTGATAATGTTCATTACAATAGTCGGTTCACTAGTCATACACACAACAGATTATTTTTAGTTGAGTTGGTTGAGAGACGTGAGTTTCAGTTTGTGTTTTTAGAAGAAAAAAAATCATTGTCACATTGTATTTTTTTATTTCCGAAATCATGCTCTGAAATGTCACCTCGAAACATCAAATGATTTCCTTTCTCTCCGTGTGCTTACAGCTTGTACATGTGAAAGGTGATTGTGTGCATTTTTTCTATGCTGAAGCGTAAATCTGTTCAACACAGGCTCTTTGCACACATCCGCACCCACACGCTGTGTGTCCATTCAGAGAAGTGAAGCTGCCCTCATTTGTACAATCTGATTTGTTAACTCAAAGGCAAATGGATGTTTTGATGAAAGCAGTGCTGTCAAACGATTAAAGGACTGTTTGCTTAAGAGTTTTATTCCACTTTTTTTTTACAACAGGAACTTTTGATGAAGATCAACATTTGTACTGTGGGGCACATACAGAAGATGTTGGGGCATAAAAGAGGCCGACGATAGATACAAGTCTTCATTTCTGCATGTAAAGTGTTAAAACCCAGTGGAACTACATGACTGAAACCCTGTTTTTCATGGTTTGGTGTTAATAATTACTCTAATTAATAAACTGCTGACACTGCCCATTGTCACATGGCCAAAGTTCTCACTTGGACTGACCACTACAAATCTACTGCCGATGCATCGCTCCTCTACAGATACAGTATTGATTTTCTTTTAGTGATTTTGTCATATTGGTGTCAGTGGTAAAGAGTTTTGCAAATGAAGGTGATTTTTTTTTTAGCCTTTATTTAAAGTCACGCTGCAGTATAGGAACCTAAAGCATCAGGCTGAACAAAGTTTTATAAGTGGAGCAATGGAGAATCCCTCGTCAGACAAAGTGATCATCAACAACCCAGCAGACATCACCGTCATTGTTGGATATTTCGTCATGGTTATCAGTGTCGGCATTTGGGTGAGTGTACCTGTGTTAGTCTGAAACAATCTAATTATCAAGACATTATAGTGGCTCAATAAAATAATGTGTATAATGTGTATCACCACAAAATATGTACATCACATGTATAAGGAGACACAAGTAGCACTGCATTTGGTTTGTGAGGATAACAGAACTGTCCTGTCTGTTTTAGGCCATGTTTCGGACCAGTCGTGGGACAGTCGGAGGATATTTTCTGGCAGGGCGCACCATGACCTGGTGGCCGGTGAGTTCAGTGGAGAGCTGATAAATAGCCCAATATTAGCTGATTAGTACATATGTTGGTGTAAGGTAGTTACTTGTAATGTGCCTAAACTATTCATTCATTTTCGGTAACCACTTATCCTGTTAGGGGTCACGGGGGCAGGAGCTTATCCCAGCTGACATTGGGCACCTTGGCCGGGGTGGGGGGGTTCAAACCCTGGGGTGGGGAACCCTTCTGTGCAGAGTTAGCATGTTCTCCGGGTACTCTGGCTTCCTCCCACCACCCAAAGACTTGACTGTGATAGTCTCATGACCTGTCCAGGGGTACAGACTATCACAGAGCTGACGCATAGAGACAGACAACCACTCACATTCACACTTATGGGCAATTTAGAGTCACCAGTTAACCTGCATGTCTTTGGATGGTGGGAGTAAGCTGGAGTATCTGGAGAACATGCAAACTCCCCAGGGTTCGAAACAGGAACAGGAACAGGAATCCTCTTGCTGTGAGGCGACAATGGCAACCACCGCAACGCCACGCTGCCTATCCGCCTAAATTAGCTACTGTATAATCTTATCGTCACATGATCAAATAGAGACTTTACATTTACAGCACCGGCATACATATCCACCCGGAAATCATTAATGCATCTATGTATAGGACAAAAATACCTAAGAAAATAAGGGATTATTTTTTAACTGAATATTTTTCTACCTTATTTATAGTTTATGTAGAGTAAGCATATATTTTATAACATATTTTGTTATAGATTGCTACTGGCAACTGTACAAAAATATATACATTTCTATGGCGCTCTAAATTACTCACAAGCCCGTGTTCTGCCTAACATATAGCTGGGGGGCCCACTCTCTCTCTATGGGCCCCCTCACCCCATGGGCCCCAGTGCAACTGCCCTGCCTGCACTGTCTGTATTTACGCCCCTGGACAATAATAAGACGATGTGGAGAAAAAACACCACATATGCCTGAGGTCATTCAGAAACCTTATTATCATTTCATAGTTTGTCCACCAGAGGGCACATGTCTATTTCTACACTGTAAAATGTCCTTCTCAGTGCATATATTTAAAAAAAATAAATTAAAGGAAATGTATGGATTAGGTGTATTTTAAAGTTCTTCATGTCTTCGTATAGAAGGAAGGAAGTCAAGGTAAAGTTTGTCCAACAACTCAAATACTTTTGGATCTTAATGAGCAACAAACTATTGTGGTTCCTTTCAGAAAAATGGCGATGTATGGCTTGAATTTTAATCTCTTGTAAAGATTTTGTTGGCTCAATATACTTCACTATGATCTCATGTTTGTTTTGTACATTCCTGCTCATAGTCTTCATGCTGTATGATGTTGCTCTTTAATTTGTTTGGTTTTGATTTGCTTTCTTCAGTGATTTTCTGTGTTCTCTCTCAGGTTGGTGCGTCTCTGTTTGCCAGCAACATTGGTAGTGGTCACTTTGTGGGCTTGGCGGGCACTGGGGCAGCCAGTGGCATCGCTGTGGGAGGCTTTGAGTGGAATGTAAGTCACATTATATACTCACAGTTTGTACAACTCTGTAGTTTAACTCCCAGAATTGTGTGGTGTAACATGTCATATGTTACTGTGTGTCGTGTATCTACTGGGTCAGGCTCTGTTCATTGTGCTGCTGCTGGGCTGGTTGTTTGTACCTGTCTACCTCACAGCTGGGGTAAGTAGTTCAGGCGGTATTATCATTTCAGCACACATCCACTGTGAG